TATTACGTTTATTCATGGACCTAAGAAAACATACTGACGATTTTCTCCAATTAACATTCGCAGTGCGGAACCAAACACCGCAGAAACATAATTTGTCAACAGCGTAATTGCAATGACTCTGACAAATAATCGTTCGCAACCCGATTCTGCGTCGTCGTTGTTGACGGAGTTAGCAATTGAGTTCCGGTGAGTCCATCGGTCCGTCGCGCACGAAATCAATCACAACTTTTCAGTGATGACTTTGCTGTTTGTGCGAGATCGGCACCAGGTACTGAAGAACTACTTCTACCGGGGACGATGACGTTGTCGTGAAGGGAGATAGTCGACTGTCGGGAGATAATCGAGTCTTGCGCGCCCTCGACGAAAACAGCTTTCTTGCAGCCGTCAGTCACTTTATCCCATGCCTAACTCAGCAGAACAAACCATCTACCGAAGGAACCATAAACTGATTTGGGTGAATGACATAAAATAATAGCCGCAACTGAAAAGATCGTCACGTTTTTGTCACAACACGGCGGCTACGACTATCATGGCAAATGCAAGTTAACTAACGAAGACGCGAAGCTCTCTAATCTCAAAGCTTAGCTGATCGCAAAGCATAGAGTCAAGGACAGGATGATACATTTTAATCAACGTTATTCTGCCCTTGAAGGGTAGATAACCTGACCAATAGACTTAATCGTACTTTTTTTATGCATTAGCAATGCGAATTTTTTTTCGGGTTGTAGTAAGAGTATCATTTTCATAGATAGATTTGCTTGTTACGGCCAGGTGTTTGATGCGATATTTTCGAACGGCTTCGAAACTGTCTGACATCCGATTCCGGAGTTGAAGCACAAGATAATATCGCAAAATCAATAAAAATAACTGATGGTTCGAATGCAGGTGAATTCAGGGACTGTTCATCAACTGAGTGGCTAAAATATAAAACTGACACCAGTTTTTAGACTCACAGAATGCTAGGGAACATCAAATTGTCAAACTGTCCAATCTTACCCATGGCTTATATGGTTTGATTGTACGCCACCGCGAGCTATAGGATCGCTTTCGATTCACTACATGACCCGGTTATGCGACGCCTCCGTGATGAGTGGCCATGTCTCCAGATCCAAATGCTCAACACCAATAAATCTGACCTACAGCTGATCAGCATCAGCAAGGAGGAGATCCGTATCA